ATGTATCTCCACAGTTTATTAATATAGGCCTGTTTTCTCAGTAAAAATAGCCCATAGATATAAGCAATCACATCTAACTTTCAAAATGATAATTATATTTAGTGTTCAGATGATCTGAAAAAAATCAGCAAGCTAGTTTTCATATTTTTATTTTGTGTCATTTTAAATTTACATAATCATAATAGCTTTGGGCGCACAATCTATATCTATTATACAGGAATCTATTAGTCAATAGACATAAGAGGGAGAAAATAATTCAGTCAGTCTTTGTTCAAGGAGCACACAACCACAGAGTTTTCTACCTCTAGGCAATGGGTTCTGAGGAAGGAAGTCATTTCTTAAATATTGTCAGTCATTTTATTTATTTTCCAGTGAGCTTTTTTGGTCTGGAAGTCAGAATCGATTATCGGAAAATTCTCTTATGTATATTTGATCACTAGCTGCTCCTCAAATCACTGTCAGATCAGATGGATCTCATTCTTTTAACTTTGGCTTCCTTGATGAATTCCTAGGTGTTGGAATGCTTGGGACTTTTCCAACACATGTTATCTTCCCAAGAATACAGCTCCCTTAAGAACTAGCCTTATGAAATTTATTGCTTGCTCCAATTTGGGTGAGTAGAGTTGAATACAAGTGAAAATATGTCCCAAGCTCAAGCTGATTCTGAACTGAGATTTGAAGAGGTATGATACTGAAAGACAATGCAAAAGTGGCATCATTAATTAAAGATGTCAATTGGACAACTTCCACGAAGTAAGTAGAACACTTCATTATCTAGAATACGTCTTTATCTGCATCAGTAGACTATTGAGAGTTAATTTTTACCTTCATATCAATAGGCATTTAAAATTCCTTAGCATCACTTGTGCACATAACAGATCACACCTGATGCATTGCTTAAATGAGTGGTGATGAGTACGTTGCATACACATCACAACTTTCAAATCACAGCTGTTTGGGCCTCTATGTTCTTAATAAAAGACTGTTGTTCAGATTACTGGGCAGATGGCCTTTAGGGAAGCATATTCACCAGTAAGCCTTTATACTTTTAAGCTGTTTCAGCAGAGTGCTGAGAGGGCATAATGAAGTTTAATAGCATGAGTGTTAACAGCCTGCACTAATAGCTCTTCAGGGTCAGTATGTGATCTTTCAATTCCAAGCATACGTAGTTTTTTTGGTTGCTCAGGTACTTTACTTGTATAATCTGCTGCTCTGTTGACTCCTAACTAAAACACATAGTTTTGTTATACATTCTAAATAAGTTTCACTACAGCTAATAGTTCTTCCAACAAATATGTTAGACTTTTAAAAACCTAATTAATTACATCATGGTTTTGTTACAGGGAACCCCAATGTGAATTGGGTTGTGTCTGTGGGTCCTCACCCACACGCTTAAGATTCAATTGTATTATGGACACACACAAAAAGGTTCAATAATGGATTTATTTACAAGGAGAAAGGTAAAAGAACAACCCAGGGAAAGAGGGAGAGAAATACAAATTAAACTAGAATGTTCTACCAGTTCTGCTGACTTGGATTCCACCGGCATGCTGAAAGCTGATTGAGAGCCAAAAGACCAGGCGTGAACCACCAGGCCAAGAGACCCCCAGAGCCCACATGTCGGGTTTTATTCCAACCTGGCTGCTCAGCTCCACCCTCACGTCCCAGCCTGCTTTTCCTTCGTATTGATGGGATTAGTAGTTCCAATATCTAGAGTGGGGGCGGAGTCCATGAAACCTATACCTGTTACAGTTTGATGATTTGTGTATTTCTTCTTCATGAAATATTTTACTTTATCTCAGTAAGTGCTATACATTATCTGATCCTGGACTTCATATTATTTTTTCTTCAGTCATGTCAGTACAGTTAATATCACATACATTTATAGTATCAGTTCTTATTAAAGAGAAGGAAAGCAGATTAATAACAGCAGACATCCCACAGATGTACAGTTTATAGTTTACATTCCACATCAACCTCATGCTGTGATTTATTTGGATAAAAGGGTAGATGTAGATACTCTGCTACATTTTATCTTCTCTGTTCCACCATTTTCCCCAAGTTTTGTCTTCAGTTGCATTTCAGAATGACCATGTAATCATGTCTATATTTTGCATGCTGTCTGGCCTTAGGGCTCAAGAGATTGCTCAGTGGAGATCATATTATCTCTTAGGCAGGCAAAAATCTGACTCCACAAATCCAGTACATGGGGCCAAACTAGTTGATAACCAGATAGTGTCCCACAGCCACTTCTATAGGAAATTTTTCCTTTTCTTGTCTATTTTGTGGATTTCAGCATTGCCCATCTCAGCAAAGTGCAGATACTAAGTTTTGTTTTTTTTTATTTTTTTAAGATTTATTTTTTATGCAGACAGAACTGGGATACAGGCCAGAGGTGCAGGGGCCATGAGAGGCTTCACCAGAGACAGAGTAGGGAGCAGAACAGGCCAACTGACAAGTACACTGCTGAGGGGAGCAATGGTCCCGCTAGAAGAGGTCGGCAGCACCATGTGGATCACCTCATGGCAGTGATTGAACTTGAGCTGAAGCGGTTTTAGCTTCTTAGTGCTATGCTTTAATCTGCTGTGCCACCAAGGAGGGCCCGACTAAGTCTTAACTCTATTTAATGATACTCCAACACAAGGTGACTCCATCATATATTAAGCGCCTTTAAGTACTATATAGAAGTGATAAAAACAGAGTTTCATGATCTAATTGCTGGAAGTTGATTGGATTCTGATGAGGCATTAGAGTTCAGTGAACATTGTCCTTGGTTTACCTTTAAGAAAAGTTTTGGTAGAATTCGTTAAGTCATACATGGAAAGTTTACCCGGGAGATAAAGACACAGACACAAGCAGGTGAAGATTGCATTTCAAAAGGTTAGGCTTACTAGGAAAAAGAGAAAGAAAATAAGAGAGGCATCTGCATAGACACAAATGGACAGAAAGCTGCTGCTGTGTCTGCTTTACAAAATGAAAACTTTTAAAAGAGAATCCTGCATAGACACAGGTGGGCAATCTGAGATAGAGCGCTGCATTTTTCCAGGACAGGAATTGTTCTAATGTAGTATTCCTTTATTGAGGAAAATTTCATTCCTGTGTGAAATGGATATCTATTATTAAGTTAATCATTTCTAGGGTGTATTGGTTAATTTGTAAGGACTGATGATCCTTTAAGGGCCTACAATATCCATGTTCCCACCTCTCGTCCACGCCGTGGAATATTTCTGTAGCAGTCCCCACTGAAGGATGTTTCATTTCCACAACAGGTCTAATGACTATATTAATCACTTTTATCCCCACCTCCAATTTCTGGCCTCATGAAACCCCCATCCCAAATTTTTCACTCTAAGCCTCCATTGGAAAATAATAAATTTGTTACATTTAGACTGAACATCCCTAAGACTAAAAGCACACAATTCCACAGAGTGTTTCCTAAATACAATTACATGTCATTAGAAATTGATGAGCCAACATCAACTGTTTCTTTTCCAGTATAATAACTACGATCAAATTTTATATTGGAAATGTATTGGCTATTCAAGAGAAGGCAATGCAGTATACCTCTATAGCTCAAGTAAAAAATGAAGAAACCAAAAACTAAATTCAAACTCCAGTCCTTAATTACAAAAAATAATTTAAATATTTGCTCAGTTTCCTTTTCTGTTAAAAGGCCATTAACGGGCCCTTCCTGGTGGTGCAGCGGGTTAAAGCACAGCACTAAGAAACTTGAGCCATTTCCACATGAGTTCGATCCCCGCCTGCCTTGGAGGAGATCCATGGCCTGGCAGACCTCTCCTGGTCCGCCTGCTACTCCCCTCAGCAGTGTGCTTCATCAGTCATCCTGTTCTGTTTCCCACTCTGTCTCTGGTGAATCCTCTCACCCTCTGCATCTCTGGCCTGTACCACAGTTCTGTATGAATAAATAAATAATCTTAAAAAAAAAAACAAAAAACAGGTCATTAGCTTTGATAGGTACAATATAAGTTCATGTAAATATGTAGACTGAGGACATGTTCCTATATTTATATTTCAAGTTTCTTACTTCTTTTATCACTTTAAGTCATTCACTCATAAGTGGTATGATTTCTCTTAAAACCTCATATACTATAAATATATTAAGCAAACCATTGTGTTGAAAATTATTTTACTGTGTGTGTGAATAATTTGGTGTGAACTAATCAATGTTATTTATCCTACATAATTCATCAATAATTTCTTTTTATTCTCAGATTCAAAGAAAGCAAAAACTCCTGCAGCAGAAGGTATTAGAAATAGTTCTTATTTTCTTCTTATAGCTGATGAGTCCCTATGTCAATTCTTCAGGAATTCTTCTTGAAGAATCAACATAGAATAAATAATTATTGAGTTAGGTAGATAGAGAATGCGAAGAATCAAATCTCTCCAGACAACATGATTAATGTTTTGTCAATGCCAATGGCACTACACTAATGTGGCTAACATGACAGTACATAAGAAATACTTAGCAGAAATAAAACACAAATTTTGTATATGTAAGTGTTTTCAAAAAACGTTTGCTTTACAGGTAATTGAACAAGAGATGTTCTGATCAAGCATTTGCTTTTTTGGAAAGTATAAGCTCAAATAATGTTGAATACATCAACATCAATTAGAAAATGAATCATTCAGGTCTTAAGTCATAACTGATCTGCCAAATGCAGTTGTTTCTCCTATACTCGTTCACTTCACATATATACATGTTTGTGTGTTCACATATCTTTAAAAAGATTGCAAGGTTTGAACCATTGAAGTGGTTAAATAGTATAGTTGGGCTAATTACTGCCAAATGATTTTTTTGCTTAAACTATGAAAACACCTATGATAATTGAAAATTCTTCAGAGTTATGCTCATTATGAAATTTAAGGAGAGAAAATATGGGTGGATATTGGAAAAATTACATTCTAATCAATTTGTTTGCATAGTCAATTTGATCTTTAAAGTTTACATGAGCAATGATTTTCTTTTTATTTCCTTCAACAGAACAACCCAAGGGAAAAAGTAAGGAAATGCATGCAAAATATATTTGTGTGTCTATTGTTTTTCTTTACTACTATTATTGGACTGCTGGTTTACCCAGACATGTTTTATATTCCCTCTCTACATTAAGTGCATGGGAACTCTTATTTGATGCTTTTTGACAGAATGAAATAATAGACAGCCTGGCAGAAGGATTTGATCAGAGTAAATAGCACAGCATGGCAATCATCCTTACAATCCTTTTCAAATTCATGCAAACATCTAATAATTTTACCCACAGCCTCCTAACCAAAAATAAAACTGCATTCCATAAACCAAAGCTGTCTTATATTAGTGTAAATGTCATCTATCCCTGTAATCTGGTTAGATATAATCTGGTTAATTATTAGGAGAGATTGAAGGGAAAAAACTTCATGCAAGTTTCATATTCTTTTTTCAAATAGAAAATATCTTCTTGTAATCATAACTATTTAAGCATGTGTGCATGAAGGATAGCATTTTGTTCATAACGTGATTTTCCTCCAACAGCACGATGAGCAGGTAGAATAATTGCTTGGGATCCCTATCTTAGGCAGCATCCACTGTTGTTTTAATACACATATCAAAACCGATTCCTAAAAATACAGTACAATCTGTTGCCTTGAGGTTGGGTCTTTGGCACGTGTTCTCTGAAGAATAGAGGCAATATTGAACACACAAACAAAAACCAAACAATTTAACTTTGTATAGCCACTGAAAACTCACACTTCTAGGTATGTAGAGTTTTAATATTAACAGATGTTTTACATCTCTGTCAAGAAATACAGCAATTTTAAAAGATATGTATATTTTCCTATAAAAAAAATTAGGACAATCTGGCACTCTCTATCATAAAAATGTTGTAAAATGACTTGTGGAGAGAATGATGAAATTATACTACAACTCAGCCAGGGGGAGCAATCTATCTATAGAGAAGGCTATGTTCCTTCAAGTCCAGATTTATGTGTATGCACAGCTGATGAACACTGGCACACAGGTGCAAAAACCACTTTATAACAATTGCACCAGAAGGAAAGTGGAGGATAACTAGAGAGTTGAAAAATGGTATTAAATAATATATATACAACCTAAGGTCCTCACTTTATTATCTATGTGATTTCAAAATTCCTGCAGACACACTGTGGCTCCTTAGCAGTGTTCAGAGCATCAATATATTTAATAAATAAGCATGCCTTCCTAACACTCATTTATATCCCGATGACTTCCCCTATCCCAATGGTCAGTAAACTGTGTGACCTAAACACTGTTAGGAAGAAGAGAAAGTTTCTTCAAAACAACTCAGTTATTTTCAAATGAACTTATTTGTTCTGGTATACTTTTTTGAACTTATTTGTTCTAAGTATACTTTTATTATTGATATTGTTATATCTTTGAATTTGTTTAATTTTCAATCTCTAGGCTGTGTTCTTATTTTGCATTTTATTTTCTGGTTACTACGCATATGAGGTCATTCTCATTTTTTAAAAAAGACTGATTTATTTATGCATACAGAACTAGGGCAGGGGTGGTGAGAGAATTCACCAGCAACAAAGTGGGGAGCAAAACAGGCAGATTAATGAAGCACACTTCTGAGGATAGCAACATTGAGACAGGAGAGGTCTGTTGCACCATGTGGGTCACCTTCCTGGCTAGGGATCAAACTTGTGCTGCAGTGGCTGCAGATAGCTTCATAGTGCTGAGCTTTAACTCCTTGTGTCATCAAGGAGGCCCCCAAACTCAGCTTAATTTTTGAGATCAGAATAATGCTTTGTCTCATCTCAAAGGAATTCTATAAACAATATTTGTCCTAAAAATAAAAGTATATTGTGTTTTCCACTGAAAATTCTTATTTTTTTAAGTCCTGGAATTGCTTCAGCAAAGCTTCATTTTATGTTAACAGTTACCTTTAATATGAGGAGATTTTACCTTAAAGAGAAAGTCCAATGAAATATCTCCATCTGTATCTTTTTGAGAGTTATTTTAGAACAGCTGTGAAAATTATACTCTGTACTAATTCTTCAACCCCAAACTAATTTCACTTTGATCTAATATAATAGCAAATTAAAATTTTCTTGATCCTTTATAGACTTTTTTTTTTAATTTTCCTGTTTTATCATCCATGAAAGATTTTAATTCATCTAATTTCCAGATATTTTCATAGTATTCTGTGCAGGAACTCTGAAGGGGATAAAGAAAGACATATTAAATATACAATATTGTTTTTTTTGTGTCAGTTATTATCTGTTGCTGTTCTACAACATTAATACATCATGTTTATTTGTTTTGAAGCAATGTAAATGTGACACATGTATTGAGGATAACAGTAATGATAATTATAGTAGTAGTAGTAGTAGTAATAATGATAATAATATTTTAGAACCAGAAAAAAAAGAAAAACAGGTGGAACCAGGTAATTGATTTTAAATTTCTCTATTCTCATTTTAAATATATTGCTTCATTTGCAATTGAATGCTGAATTTGAATCTAATCACATGAAATGTTGATTGTTTTAAATTGTCTTTTTCCATACAGCAAAATCACCAAAGAAGGAGCCTTCAGGTGAGTCAGTCTGGTGTTGCTGGGCACTTTCTGACATCAGACTTTATTAGCATTGTCCTCTCAGAGAGGAAGGAGGGAGGGGACATTATAGGAAAGGACAGAAACACACTCATCTCCCAGTTTTTTGGTACAAGCTCTCCACATAGAGTTTACACCAATGAGTTTCAGTTAAGAAAAGCCACATACAAATGTTACATTCTCGCTACTCAAATGTATGTCCTGTGAATCAGCAGCTTCAATATTACCTGAAATTTATTAGAAATACAGAATCTCTACCACCACCCCAGAAATACTGGCTCAGAATCTGTGGCTTCCTAAGATCCATGGAGTATGTGTGTGTGGTGTTCTAGGAGCATTGTTCTAATGCTTAGTGTAAAGAACAAACGAAACAAAAGTAAAGTAAAAACAAAAAGGTCGTCAAAAAAATCAAAACACTATAAATGAATCTGATGTTTTGCTTTTAAAATGTGGAATACTCAGTTGCAGCACATAGTCATTTTTTATTAATAATGTAATTTACAGATATTGTGTGAATACTCAGGGGTGTTGCAATGAAAGTAGAGGTAGATTTTGTCCTTGATGTATTTATACTATAAAACAATAAAAGGGCCCTCCCTGGTGGCACAGCGGGTTAAAGTGCCTCACTAAGAATCGAAGGCCACTTCCTCATGAGTTCGATCCCCGCCTGCCCGGGAGATGATCCACATGGCACGGCAGACCTCTCCTGACCTGCCTGCTGCTCCCCTCAGCAGTGTACTTCGTTGATCTGCCTGTTCTGCTCCCCATTTTGTCTCTGGTGAACCCTGTCACCACCCCTGCACCTCTGTCCTGTACCCCAGTTCTGTATGCACAAATAAATTAAAAATTCTTAAAACAGTAAAAAGGGATCTGTTGGGGAGACAGGATGTTCTGAACTAACTCCACAAATGGGTTTTATGGACTCCACCCCCACATCAGGCCAGAGAAATCCAAGGCATCTAGGAGGATTTCTGGGAATAGAGGGTGGAGTTAAGCAGCCAGGCTTGTTATATAATCAGAGACACGTGGACTTGGGAAGTTGTTGGCCACTTTTCACCCACCTGGAGTGTGTTAGTGGTGTCCCAGCTCAGCAGAACTGGTAAGAAGAGTTCACCTACATATATATTAATTTAATTTCAAAGTAATATATATACATTTATAAAAAAAGCCCTTTTTTAACCCTTTTTTTGTGTTGTCCACAGTTGAGTCTCATTATAAATACCTTTAAGTACCTTGGTGAGAACCCACACACAGGCCAACCCGTTTCACATTGGGGTTGTCCTGCAACAATTCAAGAATCACGCAACCAATAAAGCAAACACTAAAAAGTAATTATCATAAACCCAACCATTTTTTTGAAGTTTTCTAGCATTTAGTCTTACATATTGTTGTTTCAAATGAAAATAAAATTTTCTGAATTTTTTTCAACTCATCTTGTTTACAACACCACTTGCGGATCTTGGCACAAACTTCTACTCAGGATTTGCCACTGAGTTTTCTTGTGTGTGAGTGAGTGTGTGTGTGTGTGTTATGTGTATGTGTATGTAGATGGTCATGGTCTCATAGCATGTGCATAAATTACCCCTCCCGTTTAATTGTATTTATATGGTGAGATCATTAATTTATTATTGGCCAAATAATTACACAAGTATAGTTAAACTCTATTCCTTCTCTTGCCAGAGGCTACATCAAAGCACAGGTTCAAATTCACATTTCTTATTCTTCTTTCATAATTATGAAATTTCCTCTGCCAACCCAAATCCATTTAGGTGTTTCTCCAACTAGTTCATATGGCATTGTTTTCTTTATTGTAGCATTTAATACACTATTCTAATCAAATGACCTTTTCTTTTATGATTTCCCACTTTAAATAGTCAGAGATCAAAGGATAAATATTGTTGTATATCTCTTTAGCCATAGAGTGCCTAGTCTAGTGGGCATTTGATATGGCTTATGCAATAAAAGAACTATTAGACGGATAATAGCATATTTAAACAAATTATTAATGGCTTTCAAATAATTTGCAAGCTAAAATAATCTCACATTTTACCATTTCATGTTGACATTGATGTTACTTATACTTTGGGGATAGTTTCTTTTCTTTTTTTTCCCCCCTTACTGATAGCAGTGTAATTGTTCAGTGGAAACGTTCCCACAAGTGGAATCACACATGTTCTCACTTACATGTATGTCAGGAAGCAGAAATAGAACATGTTATTATGAAAGCATGTAAACATGAAAGAAATGCAGAATGACTTGATGTAATCCATTTTAAAAGTTTTAATAGTTGAATAGTATTTTATAATCACAAACCTGACAAAATGTATTTTAAAGTGCTTGAAATTATCATCTACATGTTATGGAATATGATTACAGTGTAGCAACTTAGCAGTTATTAGGTATTTTGAAAAAAAATCATTATATCATTTTTCAATATAATTAAATCATTTCATACCAGTGTATGTACTTAAAGGGAGTAAAATGGTTTGTATATAGAGGCCAGCAGAGTCTTAAGATAATTTCAAATGAGAAACAAATGGAATAAATCATGAATGAGCATTTTCTGTTGGGACAAGATGTGTAAGTAGCAGAAAAATGTATGGCTTATGAAATATATTTAAAGCATATCAAAGTGCTGCATTTTCTTATTCAGACTTACTCTTTTTCTATAGTTTCAAAGGTTATAATAGTCTTTTAGAATTTTGAAATAAACTTAAGAATAGAGAGAGAAAAATAGAATTGTTGTTAATTTAGACCCTATCGCTTCTTCTCAACAGCTCTGAGTGACAAACAAGTAAAAGCAAGTATGTTGAGCAAGACTTTAAAATAAAGAATTTCAGCAATTTACTCACTCAGGTTTTCTGCTAATGATAGTGCTAATGCTGATTTTTAAGGTTGGCTTAACACATTTCTTGCTATGATTATTAGTTGAACAGAAATAATATGCATAATATTCATCTTCTGTTAACTCATTATTATTATTATTTAGCGTTTTCATTTTAAATGCTCATTTCCCCAGGTCATTCCCTCTCTTTTATTGAGATGTTTGGATTTCCCTCCTCCTGCAATTTGGAGTGTGATAGTGTTCTATGTGTTTTTTTAAAACATAATAGATTTAAGTTTCCTAGTGTTTAATCACTAGATTAAAACAGTAGGCAATATGTTTTATCTACCAATGTAAGTCACTGTTTTAATGAAATGAAGTTCCTGTGATTTTATTAACACTTCCCTTGAAATGTCGTAATTTCCCTTGAAAATTTCTATCCACAGAGTATAAAATATGGACTGATAACTGTAATATCCTATGGTATGTCTAGCAATAGTCACTTTAACTATAAACTTAGGGAGAAATAACTAATTTTTTTGTTGCTATTCCTTTGTTAAATACCATACCTAGCAAGTTGTCATTAATAAAATTGATTTTAGGCAAAATAACATTCAATTTTAGAAAAGATATACTTTTAATATCTATATACCACTTTATAGTAAAACCTCAGTTATAGGTAAGTTCTAAATATATTTCTACATCTGGGATAGAGATGATACATATCAATGAACATAATAATACATAAAACAAATACATGCTTCACTTAGTGCTAGTTTTTGACATTAGAGTATATCATTGGCAGATTTATCAGAAAATTATAATATTGAGCAAGTTGGTGAAAATGTTCTTTTTAAAATTACAGTTGGAAATGATCATATAGACATTGAGAATTTAAAAAAGAGGTTTGACATGAATCTAAGTTCCATTTTTATTTCCATAAAAATTTTTAGTTGAATGTAAAGCTGATTGGAACTGTACATTATGTAGTCCTTAGTATGGTAATACTTAGTCTGTAAAAATGCATAATCAAGAAAATATATAACATACAACTGACAATTTTGCAGCATGTTACAGAACGTTAGATTGAAGATTGCTGCTAGAAAAAATATATGTATAGATAAAAATATTCATTTGCAATAAAATATTCCTGTAAGTTATGCTATCTATGAATTGCACTATTCAATCAGGTTTTGAAGAGATCAGCATGTTTTGTAGGAAAATAGCAAATGAGTTTGTCAAATCATTTTACACTGAATATAGAAGTTTCAAAGCAATGTTCAACTCCCTATATGGATGAGAGATTTTTTATTTGATATAGACATTTATTCATTACCAAATTAATTTCATATAATTCACAATTTGTAAATTATGTAGTGGATGGTCAATTATCCAACTAAGAACTGATTTTTTTTCACTTTAAGCCATATGACAGAAGAATTATTATGTAGCTGCTATGTACATTGGGCTATTTAAAAAATTTAATGACTAAAGTGAATTTGCATATCATTACAAATGCTCTTAAAAATTCTTTAAATTACCCTTGGAATATTATCAACAAAGTATTTGTACAGTACTTGAACACTCACAATAAGATTGTGCACTTAATCTTAAATTAAAATAAATTAAAATAAAAGCAAATGAGAGAATGTGATGTACAGGTTAATTAATATTAATATTGTAGATGATGCAGTGCCATAAAACTGAGGTAAAAAGAATGGATGAGTTGAATAGGTTAAGAAAAAGTCCATGGAAAAAATAGAGAACAAATTTTTCTCTAGCCCTTGCTTAAAGAAAATATCTAGCTTGTGGATTGAGTTATTGGTTTAGAATTGTTTTTAAGTTTTAAGGAAACTAACTTCACCGTAGAAAAGACACTGAATTACACACACACACTCCGGACCAGTATTCATTCAGAGTAGAGGTGATCATGGTACTATGAATTTGAAGAAAATGGAAACCTTCAGTTTCATTAATGTCATATAAATAGGGGGGCTGAATGACTCCACATTATAAAATTATTCACTATTGTTATGTATCGAGGAAGAGTGCTTTAGACCAAATAAAGATGCCAAACCTATGTTGATATTTTTTACAAATGTTTACAAATCAACACACACTTCTTTATAATGGCACATGCAAAATGAAAATATGGCTCAGAGGTATGCAGAGATACGTCCACAGATCTAGTTCCCCTCCATGCAATTTCCCACACCATATTAGATTATCACCGAGGGGCAGCCAATATAATTAGTCACTCTCAGACAAGAAGAGGACCAAAGAAGCATTTCTTTATTCTCCAAGGCTTTTGAAATCTTTAACATTGTCCATGGTGAATCTTCAAGAAGGAATGGAGTAGACAACACTTAATTGACTTCATCTTTACCTTTTGTTTAAAAAATACTTACACAAAAAGTGTTATTTCAGCTATAAAGAAGTGCTTCCACAGATCTGTTTATTCTGTGCCAAGGACCTTGGAATTCTTTATGTATTCCATGTGCTTGTTTGACTAGTGAGTGATCACTTTAAACTGAGTAAAAATAGTCACCAAGCACCAATCAGAGCCAAGCCTAATTATTTTTAATCATGGAGTCAAACTGGTGTGAAATTGCAACAATCACCATTTTTTAATTTTTGAGCTAATCTTTATATTTTGTGAAATGCTCAGCTACCGTATCAAACTATGCTTATTCCCGTAATTATGTTTCAGTACCTAAAGCTGAATCATATAATCTGATCTCTGAACTCATGATATTTAAAACATTAAGTCCTATTCTATTTACTAAGTTATATAATATTAGAATTATGTTTGGGCATAATATTCTTGAGTATGAGAAGTGACATGGTGTCAAGGCTTACTTTAAATATTCTGGAATAGAAATTAGTGGGAGAAAGGCCTGTGGGCCTGTTCTAGCTGGATCTGATGTCAAATGAACTCATCTGGCACATGTCATATATGACTTTATCTCAATCCTTTTAGCTGAATCTGGGTTTACTCATTATTCTGGAATAATTATGACTAGCATCTTTATATGCTCAGTTTGGATAATAAATTATATAATCACTACCCAAGACACAGATGATTTTGTAGAATGAACTCAGAAGAGTACTCATATGGAATTATTATGATGGGTTTAGGAAGTATAAGTAATAGGAAAAGTATAGTGTGAGACTAACTTAGGTAGTAGGGCAAGACATATTCTTGCTTAACCCTATACATGAAGACAAAATCAGCACTTAATTGGAAAATGTTCATAGTTCAGATGTCAGAGATGCTCATCAATGTTGATTCAAAGGTATCCAAGCTACACAGATGAGTGCTAACAGAGTAGAATTGGTACTGAATTTTAGAGTGAGGAAGAAAGAAAGAGAGAATTCCAATGGGATACTAAGTACAAATTTTCATATTACAATGGAGTTAGCAAAATACCACTATGAAGTGTGTATTTATACCAGGACAATGGTTATACTACTAAAATAATCTGATTGTGTTTTAAAGGGTAGAACAGTATTGGTACAGATATAAACAAGTTTTCCAGTGAGAGGGAGGGAAAAAAAAGAACATCTAAATAAACTCTACTTGAGCAAAATCTAAGAATTGAATTCTGTTTAGTTACTCAGCAGCTTAAAGATGGCCAGAAGAAACTAAGAGAGCAGATGACTATGAAAAGAGACAATATGTGAGTTATCTAATCATAGTTCATTTAAATATAAACTTGGTGGGAAGAAAATTGAGCATATGAGGAAGATCTTGGTCTCTGAAAAGATGATAAGAGCAAAGGAATGATATTACGGGGCCAGTGCTATTTAGAGGAGGGGGTTCTTGAATAATTTACTTTGAAATGGAATCAGAAAATTGAATTTTTGATTCTAACTTTTAGCAGCAAAGGAAAGTCCAATAGTTTCTGTTGGTAACGATTAAAGAAATGCTGTTTCTATATTTTTACAGTGTGGAGGTCAAGCACATGAGAAATCATGTTGTTATATGGACTGTGGAGGTGACTCCCAATCTGAGTTATATATTATAATGTACTAGGACATTTGCAAATATAAGAATACCTGGATTACATTTCAAACTCATTAGCTCTAAATCTTAATGTTCCAAAACTCAAATTCACTCCACTAGATCTATAACATCTGAACCCCAAGGACTCCTAAGACACACCCAACCACTTCTCATGGGCAGCCAGAGTGGTTGTGAATGAAACTTTACAGTCGTTGTGGAAAGGATGATAACTATGTACACACACATTCAGTGAGTAATGAGCCTAGGGACCAGGTTAGTTAAAGACAGAAATTGGGACAAAGTTTGGTGCAGCCCGGTAGGCTGTCTTCAAAAGAACTGGGATTTGGAGGAAGGAAGCAACAACCTATGAGAAGTCATAAGAAATAAAGAGGATATACATCTCATCTTTAGGCACTTTGTACTGTTGAACAACAGTGTTCAATTTAGAAGACTGCTTTTAGGGAGCAAAGTATCCTTAGGAAACTAGAATTTGTTTGAAGAATGGAAGCAAAGTGCACATTTCAGAAGAGGCTAAGGGTTTAAGTGAATGTGTACAATGAAGAGATGACACAGTGGAAGGATGTTGACAAAGCAGTAAGAAGTTTTATAGATGGTGTTTTGTGCTAGAAGCTCAGACTCCTGGTAGTAAATGAGGTAAACAGGAATGGAAGCCACAGGAGCATTAGTTCAAAATATCTTATGGGGACCCCAGGGAATCAGTTTCCACAATAGGGTCCTGAGTAGCAGAATCAACATCACCTGGAAACTTGTTTAGAAATGTACATTCTCAGGGGCCTCCCTTATGGCACAAGGGGTTAAGTTTCAGCACTACGAAGCTATCTGCAGCCACTACAGCTCTACTTCCACCCCTGGGGAAGGGAGGTGACCCATGTGGTGTAGCAAACTTCTCCTGTCTCCCCCTCTGCTCCCCTCAGCAGTATATTTCAGTCAGTCTACCTGTTCTTCTCCCCATTTTGTCTCTGGTGAATCCTCTTAACTCCCTCACCTCTGGCCTAACCCCAGCTCTTGTATGCATAAGCAAATAGCTGTTAAAAAGAAAGAAAGAAAGAAAGAAAATGTACATTCTCAGATGTGTGTCAGTTCTGCCGAGTCAGACCCTCTGGGTTTATTATCTATGTTTTAATAGTGCTATAGGTGGCTGAGGTATGCAGAGTTTCAGAACTACTATAAAGCCTTTACCTGGAAGGCAGGTAACAGCCAGGAGTCTTAGTCTTTCTACTCAGGAGTTTAGATGATATTTACTTAATTTATTGCCATATTCAAGGGTAATGCTTTTAGAATTGAAACCTGGGAGTGATGTGAAAGTCTCCTCTCAATCACATTTCTCTAACTGTGGCACAGAGAGGTCAGGGGGCCATGGAGATTCCTATTTTGGTGGTTCTCAGAGTCTCTATTGTAGATGTGTGAGGGAGATATACATACTAATAAGAGTAAGAATAAAAATAAAAATGACTGAGTAGAACAGCCTCACATAACAAAAAGCTAATCAAATGAGTAAATTAAGTTTCCTAAAACCTTATAGGTCATTATTATCCTTACTTTCGAAAGGGCTAATGGAAGGTTCAATTTTAATTAATCTTGATTTAAGGTCCAATATTTTGCACTCAGACCAGCATTGTAGATGATGTGTTCAGGGAAGCCCTCTTATCTTCCACTCTAGATATGGAGAAAAACTCTGAAAACCCATTTTGGATTTTTAATTTCCTCTCCCTCTTCCTCTCTCTCTGTAGTATTCAAATGGAGTTTTCTATAATATTGTGGCTAATCTTTTATAATATAGAGGTCACATTATGCTTACAGTCCCCCAAATTAAATAGACAAATAAGGCTTTTCAAATATTCTTTGTCTTAGGTCATTTAAGATTTGAATATAAATTCATCAGTTAGCATTCTAACATATTTTGTGGAATAAGTCACCTATTATGGTCACTTCATACAGAAGTATGAAATTTTAATATCACAGAGTTGTATATGGAAGGAGTTTCTATGTTGCTACTTAAGAGAGTTCATTAGTTCAAACTGTATAAGCCCTTTCTAGCATGACTTTTTGCTGCTTGCTTTGCTCTCCATGCATTTTATCTTGGCAGTTTTAGTCTTGTCTGACCTACAATACCATATCGACCTGGTATCTCGGATTCCCATTTCTCATCCTTTAATATCTGAAATTGCAGAAACTGAAAAAGCCAAAGAAGAAATTGGTGCTGCTTCAACTAAGAAAGGTAAATGTAGCTGAAGGAAAAAGATTTCATGACTATAACTAATTTCTACTAAGGTTTCTAAACAAGGGTACTGTTGAGTGCTTTTAGAACAGCTCAATTTATTGATTTTTACTATTTTTTTTTGATAAAGGAACAAAGCCACTTAGCAAAAGTTTAACAGCATCTATATTAACAAGGTTGAATCGTCTGCTTTCTAATACCAATAGTTTTTTTTTTTTTTTTCCTTTAGGGTTGTAAACCAAAATTGGTAATTATAGTCCAATTGCAAGTTGTTTTGAAAAACTGAAGAAATGCAGCTCTTTAAATTCAGATCTCAGTCACCTGCCGAGCATTTAAAATTAATATGTTGCCTTAAATATATTTGCTCAAACAAACTTTGATGAGAACTTAAATGATGTTTGCTTTCTGCAAGAAAAATATTTTAGATATAATTTGTTTTAAATTTTAAAATGACAGTTTTATTAGGAAAAGAAGAAAGAAAAAGAGAGGCTTTAAAGCTATAGGTGGGCTAGAGAGCTGCTGCCAGAGAGTGGAAGAGCAGAAGTTAATGAGATAGAAATTAAAGTATACAATAGGAAAAGCAGTATAGTCAAAATTAGAATTGCTATGAAAGCTGATAAAATTGATAAACTGTTATAAAAACTTAATTAAAAAGTGAAAACACATTAATATGAGAAATGAAAGGCGGCATTCCTGTAGATGCTATAAGTAATTTTAAAATAAAGTATTCTGGAAATTTTAATATAATTGATATTTTAAATCCCTACTTAAAATGGCAAAAAAAAAAAAAAAAAAAACTAAGCCAGATGGCTTCACTGGTGAATTTGTAAATACTTAAGGAAAATTAATATCAGTCTCATACTCACCTTCTAGGAGGAGAAAAAGAGAAATTGTTCATTAATTTTATGGAACTGGTATAATCTTCCTAACAAAATTGCTTAACAAGTACTAGAAAAGAAAAGAGGCATGCAAGCTAATTATTCTTATAAACAACAAGGTGTAGAACTAAACAGAATATTACTTGATCAAACCTGGTAATTTATGTGAAGGATAAAAAGGAATTTTTTTTTTAAGGAATTCGGTTTCACTCTAATTAACTGGAATGATAGAATACAAATAAATTACTTTGATCATAGAAGATGCATTTGAGGTAATTCATGACAAAAGTGGAAACTTCCTTAGTCTGATAAGACATATACAAAAATTGTTAGTAGATATCATACTGCGTGCAGAAAAGTGAAAGTTGCTCTCCTGTGAATTGGAACAAAACAATGATGTTTGCTATCATCTCTTGTATTACATGTTGTGCTGGATATTTTAGCCATGGTAATAAGATGAGAGAAAGAAAAATAATGTGCGAATAGAAAAGTAAGACAGTTATCACAGATAATATTTATTTGCAAAATGCAAAATAATCTATAGGTTAACTATTACAACTAATAGGAAAATTTAGCAAATTTCTATAAAAACTTATTTCTCTCTGTCTTTGTCCCTTTTTCCCTCCTTCTTTCCCCCTTGCGCTGTCTCTTCAGTTGGTGACCTTGACTTTTTTCGAAAGGTCAAGACCCATCATATTGTATACATTTTTTATTGCTCTAGCAATAAAACTTTTATTGCTTTAGCATATTATTTTAAATGTTTTCTACATCCCATATTTCGTTAAACTAAAAACCAATTAAGTCTTGGGCTTAATTGGATTCCAGATGGATGCCTTGGCAATAATATTCCATATTCAATATTGTGTGCATTATACTACATGGCATTTGGAGAAACACAAATGCATGTATGTCCTATAGTCATTAATGTTTCTAAGTTTTATGAATGGGTTAAGTTGTTGACAACCACATTCGTTCACTAACTTTGTATATTTTCCTCTTGAGTTATGCAAGGTGATGCTTATATGTGAGAATATTTAGCTCCACATCTATTCATCATCTAATGTCTGCTCATGTCTTCTGAAGACCAGTACTTGAATCAATTATTTCAGAAGAACACACTGATTTTGTATAAATTATTTTTGTTTTGATGTGTAAATTGGTGAACAGTGAATACAACAGGAAAAGAATAAATCATAAAGCATGATTCAGTGAAAACTGCACCTACATGATAATCTTACTTCTCTTTTGTTTACTTGTGATCTGGGGTGGCTTTACTCAATATTTAAATGACTCTCAAGTATGACTACACTGTCCTTTTAGTTGATTAAGCCATGTGAAGCCTAAATGGAAATGAACATCTAGTTGACATTTTCAAGACACTAAATAACTCTAGCAATAACCAAGAATGTAAGTCAATTAATCATAGTCCTGCCAAGTGGAATTATTTCTGCAGCTTGTTTACCAAAGGCGAGGACGAAAGAATAAAGTAGAAAAGAGTTTGTGAAAACCAGTCAGAAAAAAACATTTACTTCTTGGAGATTAGATTTATAATAGGTTTCAATTGGATTATAGAGAAATGAGAAATGTTGAAAAAGTTTTAGAATAGCTTGTTTGGAAGAAATACTTAGCATTGAATGAGTTACAAAATGCTTTTGAAGCAGAAGTAGCATTTCTATCTGGAACTTTTATTTAAACCTTATCTCTGCTTTGCAGCTGTACCTGGGAAGAAAGAAGAGAAAACAACCAAGACAGTGGAGCAAGGTAAAAAAAAATGAAGGAGTTTGACATTATCTTCTTTAAAAAGACAACAACATGAGGAGGAAAGCATTGGATTCAGACAGGTGGAAGACAAAACCTTTAAATCTATTGCTATCACTGTCCTTGCATGATTTTCTGTGCCAGGGAGTATGTGAGGTGGCAATCTGGGTTTCTGTTCTTTTGTATAACTAAACTTTGAGTAAAGGTTCAGAACAGAAAAGCATTACCGACCACTTAATTATGTCTGAAGGAGTGCTGAATATTATTGGATGAAAGAAAAATTGATCAGGGTAACTACTAGATATTTCTTGTTTGATTTGTGGTTTCAATCCCACCTGAGCTGTCATAAAAGAATTTCTATTGCTTGGAAAAGATAGCTAAAACTTAAAATAAGAAAAATAAGTTATTTACATTTATACTGTAACTTCAGCAATTGATTTTCCCAAGAGGTTGAAATTTCAATGTTTTAGATCATAATACTTTGAGTATTATGATTGCATTTTTATAATGTAGTTATATAATGCATGCATCACCCTATAATATATTTGAGAAAAATGTGACAAGACAGGAGAGTTAAAACATTTAATATTTTGTTAGGAGTTTCACTTAGAGCTCACAGTGATTTTAATTGTTCCTCTCTTTGGTTTTTATAAGGTATATATTTGTCATTTATTAGAATAAATAAGATCAGAACTGGGAATTATTTTGTCAATAGTGAAGTCAGTGTAATTCCCCCTCTTAATTTAAATTAAGATTTAAATTCCTAAATTTATAAATTAAGATTTTTATGTGAATATATCTAGAAAAATATTTATTACATTTTAGATAAAATGTTAAGAATTCAGTTAGAAGTTAAGGGTTTATTTTTTTTTACTTTTCACATTATAATCATATTTGAATGTTTTCAAATTAATTTTGGTTACTGGAGAAGAGCTGAAGATTTAAAAGGCGATAGAATAGAATATTTTTTCAAATTGTTTTTAAGGCGGAGATTTTCATTTTTGAAAAATAAGTAGGGGAGGGGATACTAGTTCTCAGTTTCAACTTGTTCACCTAGGCAAGACTCGGACTCTAAACTTCTTTAAATGTAATTAATTAGAACTGACACGAGGCTATTTAAGAAGAAATAAGATTATATGTGAAAGATTATAAATTCCTAGAAAGTCTTTTTAGAGGCATTTTTCTTTTTTAAAATCAATTTTAATTCAGGTAAAACAAAGCAAAAACCACTTTGATTTCAGCCCCCCCCCCCAATGTTAAAGTGGTGATAAGTCATCTGTGACATTCATAGATTGCTTTCGGAGTCACAAAATATGAAGAGATGACAAAAATGCTAGCAACAGCTCTTTAAACTATTTCTTCCTCATTGAATGTTGATGTCAGGCTTTTTTAAATTCTGTAATACTTTACCAACTGAACAAGAGGCAGGAAGTAGTTCTGAGAGATGTGAACATACTCCTTCAGATGTTTTATAATTAATATTTTTAAATGACTTTAATGAAATTTTATCTTGGTTTTCATAAAAAGAGTTTCTCTCAATTATATTGACTTGGTATATTTTAAATATATAAAGCAACGGTCTCATTTGCAACTCTAAAAATCATGAGTAATAGGGTATTTGGATAACTTGTATCATTTTGTGATGGCATAGCTAATATTAATACTAGATAGACAGTATTTTGTGACTTTAATAAAAAACAGAGGTCATGGAGAATAAATTAAACCATGAAATTCTTCAGATTTCACCGTGGCAGTCTAAAATTTAAAAATGCTTTAATGATGCTTTCAGACTTATGCAATCTTCTTTATACAAATTTTACTATCTCCAGTAGTATCAATAATATAGTACTGGTTCATAATTCAATATAATTAAATAGATTTTAAAAGTTATTTTCATTTGTTTAAGTTTGAGCTTGGGGATTTTCATTAGGGAAAAAGCTTTATGATTTTCATTAACTCAGAGGAGTTGTCAAATACACTGTGATATAGGTAAAACTGAGTGTATTGAACTTCTGGAGTTGGTCTACATTATCACTGTAGCTGGGAAACAATGATGAAACAACACTTATTATATGGGAAATTCATATTATGAAAAGTAAAATTAATTTTATGTTAACATAATTTAGTAAACACAATCACATATTATGAGATATTTAGTTAATTTAAATTTTATAAAAGTACCCGAATATAATAATTTATCTCTGACTCAAGATGATTCTTTTTATCTTCCATTTATTCATCTCATCAAGATCATAATTGAACTAGACTGGAACTTTGGATTTAAAAAATACCTTATAAATACCTCTACTTTAACAACACATGCACCGTTAATTATTCCCTTTGTTTAGAAAGCAATTACCTGGAAGCATCAGGAGGTACATCACCTCCTTAATACTTGTTTTCCACAATAAATTTTGCTGTGAGAACTAAAGAACATTAAAGTAAACATGAGAATATGGGCTATCAGTGAGGGTTTATCTACAAAGAGTGATTGTATTTCATCAGATATAATTTATGATTTTGTTATTATTTAATTTCACATACTTGATGTATTTTTTTATCTTGGACATTCCTTTTCAAAATATACTTGTCTTCACCAAACTCATTTCCTTCTCCCACAATCGCTCTCTCTAAGCCTGTGGTGATACTCACTTGTTTTAGCGTGTAAATAATCAATCTAAGGAAGCAGCATAGCTTGATACTTGCTAGGGCAGGGAAAGACACTAGCAAGGTTATTAACCCTACAGATCTGAGTTTTAGGTTGTCCCAGCATCTCCCTGATTTTAATTTCCTCCTAAAGGACTAAGTGCAACAGTGAAAAAGTAAAGGAAATAGTAATAAATCAGTTGAAGATCATTTTTCTTTTATTCACTACTATGTAAGGTCTTTTTACATGGTTTTAAACCAGCTATCTCAATTTTTAAAAAAAGTGCAATTTAAAAAATTATTAAAGTACGTTTTAAGAAATAGTTTGTCTCAGGAGCTTGCCACAATGCTGACACAGTAAACGTTTAATAAATTATTGTGGAGTGCATAGAATCATAGAAGAATTTTTGAAGAAAAGAGTATTAAGCCATCCAGATTTCATGAACATGTCTCTAAACACTGCTCAAAAAGGAGAATAGTCAATCAAAATGTGATTTCTAGCAGTGAAGGTTGTCAAATATTTTAGAAGCCAGAAGCGATTAAGTGCTTCTGCTACCTTCATCTAGAGAAAACTTAATTATTCGATATGCATTATTCATTAATTACATCATTGTTTCCATGCTCTTTGTCGATGGTACTCTTACATAAACAACCGGCATGTGCAATTATCATCTGGATAAAGATCGACATTTCATATTATACTAATTGTAACCAATATTTAGTGAAATAAAGACATTTCAGATGGAAGAGAAATAGCCTAATTAAACTAATAGATGTCTATTTGCAGAAAGGGTTAGCTTTGTCCTTGCTTTTCTTATTTTTACAGCAAGAGCTGAACTAGATCATCTTTAAGTCCTTTCAAATGTAAAAAAAAATCTCTTCAAAAAAGTTTTTTTTTTTCTTTAAAGATTTATTATTTGTGCATACAGAAATGGGGTACAGGCCAGAGGCTCAGGGGCAACGAGAGGCTTCACCAGAGACAGAGTGGGGAACAGAACAGGCAGATCGACTAAGCACACTGCTGAGGGCAACAGTGGGCGGGTCAGGAGAGGTCTGCCACACCATGTGGTCACCTCCCGGGCAGGCTGGAATCAAACTCATGCGGAAGAGGCTTTAGCTTCTTAGTGCTGTGCTTTAACCTGCTGCACCAGCAGGGAGGACCACTCTTCAAAAAAGTTTTGAACAACATGTTTCCTATATCAGAATATGGACTCTAGTCATCTTTAGGGGGAGGGTGGTCTAGCAGACTTCCATCTCAAAGATTCTAAATCCAAATACTAATATTTCTGTACTTTTATTACAGAAATATTAAGTTTAGTTTTCCACCTTAGCAATTAAAAATCACTTCAAAATTCTGTTAAGAAGAAACAAGATTCATAAAATTGTTGTGCCTCTTAACCACCTAGCATAAATTTAAGCAAATTGGTAATCATTTTATTAAGGATAAAATCGCAGTATGTGTGTCTTAAATGTATCAAATGCACTCCATTTCCTGTAATAAAAAATCAACTTGCCTTAAATTAAATATAGTCATATGTGTCCATCAGAAGTTTCTTTTTTTCCTTTGACATTATAAATGGTATTCTACATAATTGTATTAGCATTTTAAATTGTCACAGTACCAGGTAAAACCCAAGTGCTGCTATATGATATGTATGTTTGCCACTGTCTTCATCCACCTTTCACATTCTTCTAGTCTTTGAACATGCACTAGCCTGTTTAAAATCTGTGGTGTATATTTATTATTGACTTATCTCGTACTTTGAAGTGACTGTTAGTAATATCTAAGAGTAATGATTTCTTGGAGAGAAGCTTATTTACTTAAATAATGAATGTTTATATTTTATGGTTTGTCAAATTTATAAAACAATTTTACACTTAAATGAAACAAAAGTAAAGATTTAGTTAATGAAAATTGTATTTAGTGATTTGCTTAATTTGTGATTATAAAATTGCCTGTTTGCACATCTGGACTAAGTCATGCTGGTGACCCTCAATAAATGTTAAATGGTAATAACAACACTATTGTTCTTGTGAATTCCAAACTTTTTGACAATAGGTTGTGCTTTGGTTATTTAATATTTATTGAGCACCCACAACAGACTTGGCACTGGGGAATGGATAGAAGGAACACAGAGTGGCTTTTGGAGAGAAAATGGTCTACACACAGAATCCATACAACACAATGAATATGTTCTGCTTGTTTACATATTCTATATATTTTCAAAAGACCTTTAGAAATTATTCATTGTCTCACTTGTTCACATAACAAATTTCACTGCTTATTTTATTTAATACTTTTTGAATGAGCCCACCATTATTTTATCTCT